AAGATGTTGCCCCAACCCCTCTTGGGTTTTAGCTTCCCCAACCGCAGCGAGAGCAAGGCGTTTTTGCTTGTTCTATTGCCGTAACAAATCCATTTTACCTGTCAGCTTTAACGCGTAAGCAAATGTCAAAACGGCTGCTGACTAGAGCGGAGCTCCACCTAAAGATACCTGAATAGCTACTGATACATATACACATGCAAGCGTGTGTATCTAAGTACTTGTGCACACATACATATACATATGCATATACATTTAGGTAGCTAGCTGTGCGCGTTGATATATAGCCAAGTCGCAATTAGAGCGCAGACCGCAGAATGAAACTCTGGCTGCCATGCAAACAAGCCAGGATGCGGACGACGACAGCTAGAAATTGTTACTAAACAAAAATCCAAAAGAGGAAATACATTTTCGTGCAAACAAAATCAAGCACACGAATTGGAATACCTCTGCAAGAGCGGTATTACGGAATTGCGAGTCTGGTGTAACGAATCGCAAGCGTATTAAGTCCAATCAAATTGAATGTTGCGATTTCTTTGCTCCTTGGACTTGTGACAACGCAGCGACAAAACTGCAAACCGTGTAATTCGTGTTCCGTTGTCATTTGCAATTCTGTCATGTTGCCGAGGTAGTCTCAACCCCCCCGCCGCGCAGCCCAACCAACTAATTAAACGCATGTGCAGTGCATTCCCAGACCCAAAGAGTCCGCTGGCATTTTATTCATTCCGGCGCTAATTAGTCTCAGAGTGCGCGTCCAGGTCCGCCAACATGCGTGACAATCGCCTGGGGGCAGATCAAACGTTTGACTTTCCAATCCGCTGTTAAAGCACTTTTTACGCTTGCCCCTTGTGCCCCTAGTTAATCCAAAGAGACGCAGCAGTCCCCTGCGCTGGGCCTGCAATTGCTTTGAAAAGGGCCTCTTCACAAACGCTTCGCCTTTTGATTTATATGCGACGATATAATATGCGAACAGAGCATTTCGAGATCAAAGCATTGTCTGTCTTGTCTTTGGGGAGCAACTGTCATGTGAGCTAATTTTCCGAAGAGAAAATGCATTCGGTTGCTTGAAATTCGTTGTGTTATTCACAATTCTTCGACCTTGCATAATACTCGTAACTTTTGTCAGGTAAATAGCGCACATATTAAATTAGTATTGCTTTATAATGTGTGACCAGGTAGAAGTTACCTAGACGTGAATCCGCCCTGTTAAATAAATAAATGTGCAGCTTGGATTTATAATTGGAATATACTTTAATGCAATGAGCAATCTCTTTACAAGCTCTTGAACTTTCATCTTTAAGCTTCTCGTTTAATTTAATAAAGCAAAAAAACAACCCAGTCAAAATAATATGTTTTACAAGGTATATGCCCGCCTTCATACGAACTCTGCACTATTTCTTTAAGCCTTTTAAACGCTAACAAAAACACCATGCACTTAGAGCTGCAGTTTATTGGCCTTAAAGAGCTACAATGAGGCTCAGTCACGGTTACTTGATCGCTTTGATCACGTTGTTGGTGCATTGTACAACCGCAATAGATATACATTGCCCACCATGGCCAAACTGTAACATCCTCAGTGTGTGCTGTCAGCGCACAGGCCCCGAGGCAAAATCAATGAAAGATTAAAGCAGAGCACAGCGAAATGTTATTGCAAATGGACAATAAAAATAGTATTTACCAATGAAAGTAAGAGATGTTATTGAATTTAGCTTAAGTTAATACTCTTTTTCAGATCTTGAAAAATAACCATCAATTAATAGCATTTCATATAATGGACAGACAGACTTAAACTGGCTAAAATCGGGAAATAATCCCGAATTGCCAAATAATTTGTGAAACAAATCCTTTGCCTGTTTTCTGCTCCTAAAAATTCCGAAATTGCCTAAAATCTTTAGCAAAAATTTAAGATAAAAATGGAGCAACAAACAGAACTTTTAAGGTTAATAGACCGAAAAGCAGAAAAGTACATTTATCTGAAACAAATAAATGGCTGTGTAATAAGGAAAATGTACTTGGCTGACAGCGTTGCGGATCAGATAATAACTTTGGGAAATGTAATGTGTAAAATAATAATAAGAATGAAAGCATGCAACAAAAGTCTGTAGTTTTGTGTGAGCGTGTGTGGCGGACCACGCCCATTTTGCATAGTCAGGCCCCAAAACACATTTGAATAATGAGCGTCGAGCGAAGCAGTTTTATAGCTGCTTTTGTTGCAGTTGCTGGTGTTGCTGGTGTTGGTGTTGTTGTTGCTGTTGCTGTTGTTGTTGTTGCTGCTGCTTCTGCTGTTGCCTGAGGTTGTCCCTTGGCAACCAGCCTGATGCTGTCTACTGGCGCCCCCACCTCATCTGGTTGCCCTGTTTTTGGTCACTGACATTTTGGGATTTTGTGCGCAAATTTGAGTTTTAGTTTATGCATGCAGCTGGCTTACAACAACCACAATAACAAGAGCAAGCACAGCTGCTAAGTCAGCTTAGCTCGTGTTTTGGGCTGCAGCTGAACAAAAGTTTGCGACCCACTGCTAATTATGCCGCCCGGACCTGAAGTCTGAACGCGAAACTCGGTTAGTTAAGATACAGATATAGATACTTGGCAGCGAGCAGCTTTTTGGCTCGACTGGCAGCTAATTTTTGGCAGCTGTCAGCAGTGCGCCACATAAATCCCTCAAAGTCAACAGCATTTCGCCCAAGTGGCACATCAATTCGCGTGCTTGTCAACCACAACACACAAGCCACATGCACAACTAGTACACGCAAAGATGCTGAACATGCCACCAGGCGAACACACATCATATTGCAATCGTCAGCTGTGTCACCGCATGCAACGTCGCTTATCGCTCAGCTCTGTAATGATTGCAGCAGCCCCAATAGCCGCGAAAGCCCCAATCTCATATCCACGCACCCCAGTCTCCCAGTCTCCCAGACCATGTCTGTTATGCATTTTTCATAACGCAATTCATGTTATTCACGCGCTCGCGACAAGTCGAAATCGTTTTTTCACCCCCAAGCAACAAACATTGACTGCTTAGAACAGTGGTCAGAAACTCAAAAATATTCTCTCGAAAAAATTGTTTATTTTTTTAATCACGACATCTGAAATTTTCGTAATAAACGTCTTTTTACCTTGTATCGATAAAAGTTTCGGTTCATTTTGAAAACAGTTTTAAGATATATAAATATTCTACGAGCATTTTTCAAAGGCGCTTTTAAAGCACATTGTATAGTTTAAGTGAATTTTATTAAATCTTCTTAAGTAACAAACAAAGCTCTCCAAATACTCATAGGCCATTACGTAAATAAAGAGCTTTGAATATATTAAAAGGCTAAATTAAAGTTTTTGAGCTTTTCATAAGACTGAAACTCGTTGAAGAAAAGCTTTTGAGTAACTTGAAGAATTTCTAGAAGAAGCTCGCATAGTTTACTTAAGAATGAAACACTTTTAGAACACTTTTAACTAGAGAACAAAATTGTAGACAGTTCTTCTTGAAATTTTTACTTCAAATATTTGTCCCACTATTTACAATACTTTCTCGTTTGGTTCATAAATTTAAATAAGTACAAATAGTAATAATAATTTTTCGAAATAGTTTTTAATTTAAAATTAGATTCACGCCATTAAATAAAATGGTTTTTTAATTATTTTAGAGCTGTTGGCAATAATAAAACTGTACGCATTTCTGCGATAAAGAAGAACACTTCATTTATTATAGTTTTTTACCACTGTGCATATGTCATATAAAGTGTCCCATTAATCATCAAACTACATGTCGTTCAAGTTATTTTTGTATTCTGGTGCTGGCGCAGGAAGCACGAACTTAGTGTGGAAATCCAAAATCCAGCAAGCAATTAAATTGGATGCGCGCATCAATATAGAATATGCAACAACTATAACAACAGCAGCAGCTCCCCTTCAAGAACAAGTGCAGACCGCATAAATCAAAGTGTAGAGATCCAAGCCCCATGACTCGGACCCACCCAAACGAGACGCAGCGATTAGGCAAAGTCTCACGCGCCGGCCCAAATGGAGGGGTTTATTTTTATCAGACACAGACTCAGACTCCGATTCCGACTCCGACTGCAACTCCCATTGCAGGCAAGCGTGGCATGTTAAATCGTCTGCGCCATATTTAAAACAGCAGCAAATTAATTTATTTTTTCACGCCGTTCTCTGGAAGTGCGCATTAATAAACAATTAAGAGTTCTTAATTGCAGTTAGCCTGCAGCCAGCAGGTTTATTTTAAGTGTATTTCAATGGGTAGAGTCGGCTCTGCCAGCTGCTACCCAAAGTTCCTAACAAGCCAAAGGAAGGAGCGCTGGCCAAGGAATTTCATTATTGATAGAATTCCGTAAGGCATTTTTCGGCTTAGGCACATAGGAGAGCAAACTGGGAATGTGCCACAACCTCAGACTACATCCTTCAGCCAAACTGCTGGTCCCAGTTGCTGTATCGTATTTATGAGTCACAGCTCGTTGGCACTTCAAGCGAACAGCCTAAGCCGCTTATCTCTGTGCCGGCTGGGAGGGAGCCACCCTCCAAAGCCGCTTGGCAATTCCTGGTATTAGGTATGCTACGAATAGGCGTGAAAATTAGCTACTCTTTGTATGGAGAGATGTGTATGAAAATGTTACATTGCTTCCAGAAAGCGGATATAAATTAAGCTTTGTCTACGCTTAGCCATAGATAACTGCACCTATAATAATCATCTTGAACATGTACTAGGCCCTGCTATCAAAGGGCATAATAAATTAAATGTCTATATGAATGCATTCATATTGTTACATAACATTCTTCATAATTTATCTATATTAATGCCTGGGCTACAAATTGAATATCTATTCAAATCTTATTGAGTTCTTAAATTGACATCTATGGTAAAGTTAATATGAAATATATTTTATATACATAGATGGTTTTAAAATTGGTTGTAAAATCCGTTTTTACCTTATTTCTATTGAAATGATTTTAACTACATTTTTTGTAATATTTCAAATTTTGTATGCGCTTACCTCTTAAATTCTGTTGTAGTTTGAATCAACAAGAGCTAAAAATAAAGGAGAAGAAAAATTATTTTCTATATCAAATGCATATACAAATTCAATTAGCGTTAAGACTTTGATTTGTATAAAAGCTAGAGGAAATACTCGTATCTGGGAAATAGTTTTGCTGCATGCCGTCAGCAAAGGAAACTTGGTTAAAAGAATGCCACATTAAGCAGGCTTGAACGATGCTGACGTGCATGAAGAGCGGCTAGATACTCGAGAAATGCGAGAGCGGGGGAAAGCGAGTGGGCTGTGTGGGTGAGCGGGTAGCTGAGTGATGGGCAGAGGCATGACAAGAGCCAGACATTGAACACGAAAAAGGAAACTGGAGCGAAGACATTAGCCTGAAATGACAGCAACAAGATGCAAGATAGATACTCGGCTTATAGCTCTATTTTCCAACTGTATCAGCGGCAAGACAAGCAACACAGCGCAAGAAAAAAAAACAGGGAGGAGTAAAAATGGGATATAAAACATGAAAACAAGTAAACAACAAATGACAAGCTGTCGTGAAAGTATGCTAAAGACTGCGTTGCAGAGGTGTAGATACTATGTGTGTGTTAGTGCGAAAACTTGTGCTCATTTAAAGTCAAACAGTCTGAAGTTACAGCTGGCATATATATTGAAAAACACTTTTCTGGCCCAAGGACTGAGGCACACACTCACATCATTCACTCGCCCACTCACCCACTCACTCACGCACTCATTCGACAGCTGTTAGTTGCGCGAGCTACTCGTCTATGCAATATGCAGAGAAGATGGCTTAAATGGAGACTTTCATCATGGCCTCTGCCAGCTGGCAGGGCTTTTATTTTCCATCGCTCGTCTTCTATTAGAGAGAGAGAGAGAGAAAGTCTTGGCCAAATGCTTTTCGTGCCAATGCTTCAACTTAAATATTTATGTAAGCGCGGCATTCATGAGAAATATTTCGCGATTGCTGCACAAGCACGAGTATTTTGCTTTTATTATTATTGAAATAGGCCAGCAAACGAGCTTATGCTAAACATTTACCCGCTGCCACTCGTCCTGCTCCTGCTCCGGCTCCACCTTCTGCTTCTGCTGCACTTTGGCAATGAAAAAGCAATGCCACTGGGCCAAGAAGTTGCTCGAAATACTAGCTGGAGCCATGGATGTTCCATGGAATTTACGAGTTTGCTTAGCAGTTATTGGATCGTTGATGAAATTGTTAGTGGCACAGCCAGCTGCAGCTGGATGCCAAATGAATAAACGGCTGATGATATAAAGAGTTAAATGCACTTTTCATAAGAATGAAACATTTGCAAATTTCAATAAAAATACTCTGCCAAATTAGGTTTCCATTCAAAAGTATGCTTTGCCAGGCTGCTACGGAATTTCAATTTTTATTAAGAACCGAAACTAAAATCCAGTCAAGCTCGAACTGAACCATATTTTTGCTCACAATTTATGAGAGAGACTCAGACCTATGGCATAAATAACTCTGGGCCCACAGTGCACTCTTCTAAACATTTTTGAGTAGATATTAAGTTTTGCGTGTTATGTATACATGCATTTAAAAACTATAATTTTAAAAGTTTCATTAAAATAATGAACTATATAGATGCGAATTATTTGGATGTGGCAGGAAGTAAGCCGAACCACTTATCTTTTTTTTTAACCATATAGAGGATATCATAATTGTGCCATGAAATGTGTAACGCATAGAAGGAGACATCTCCGACTCCATAAAGTATATATATTCTAGATCATCAACAACAACCGAATTGGAATAGTTTTGTCCGTCCGTACGTCGGTCCGTCTGTCTCTTTCTAAGCGAACTAGTCCCTCAGTCTCAAAGATATCGTATTGACACTTTGCATAGGACCGCCTTTCAGTTCATATGTCGGAACCGACCGGATCGGACTACTTTATCATATAGCTGTAATAGGAATGGGTATAAGAGTAGGTTTCTGTATGTTTCTGTATCTTTCATGTTTATAAAGTTATCTTTACCAAAATCGGCATTCATTAGTTATACTCTACTCCTCATATACTGGCAAATCTTGTTAATATCTTACTGGGCTGGATCTTAAGCATTTTAACAACGTGCATTCTAGAATATATACGTTTTGCTTAATTTATGTAATTTACAATATCGATTCAATCTTTTGGGCCACTTACTTGTTTGGCTCGCTGAAGCAGTAATGCGAAAATGTTCAGGGCTATAAGTCTGGAGGCGAATGTGCTCAGGAGGCGGCATTACTCGGCACATTCGAAAACTCAATTGCGCATGCAATGGCTCAAAGGGTTTAACTGCGTATAACATTCAATTTGCGTTAATGGCATTAAATAAAGTCACACGCACAGAAACACACAGCCGCCCACCCACACAGAGACACTATCAGAAGGCATTACAAAACATTATGTTACTCGGTTTCACCTTTGAAAACATTTTCATTGGCTGGCCACTTAAAAAAAGGTTCTGCTGCCAGACTTAAGCCTCTCGGCAGGGATACAAAAATAAAGTATGAAGAGAAAAAAACACTGAAATCAACCTGCAATGGCAGTTTTTTGTGATATTCTTAAATCGCATTAAAAATCATTGGCACATGTTGCAAATGTGAGAGGGTGGGGGAGGGAAGCGTCGAGTAGCCAAAGAAACTACAACGAACGTAAAATAAACAACAACAGTTTCATTTTCAGTTTAAAGCGGGTAAAAAAAAACGTTGCCAAAACAACACAAATTTACCGACAGCAAAGCCCTGTGCGCCCCATTGGGCGTGGCAACAAATCAGGCAAAAAACAGGAAACCGCTTCGGTGCTCGGCTGGGGCGGGTGAGCCAAAAGTTGTACTTTAGATAAAGTTGCTGCTGTTGCTGGTGCTGCTGCTGCTGGCTGTTTTTACCAAACATTCGAAATGCAATGCACGTACCCGGTACAACGCACACCACGCACACCCCATACACCACCCCCAAGCGGACTTACACCTGGATAAAGTTTGGCTGTGATAGACGCATTCAATGCGCTTATTTCTTGCTCTTATCTTATTTTTATTTTTTGGCCTGATTTCTTGAGCTTCTGCACACACTTTGTTCGCACTTTGAGCGATTCCTTGTTTGTGGCAAGTTTATAAAAAAAAAACAACAAGTGTGAACAGTTTTTTGCCAGATGCCGAAACTTAAATACCCTTGTGTCACATATCTGTGCAAAAACTCCTGTGGTTAATTTGCAAGAGAGCCGAAATTCTTACAAGGACTCGTCTGTTGATCGAGTTCTCCTTAAAGGCGTCACACATTATGTGAAAGAATTATAATGCTCTCTTAGCAAGTGTATGAAAGGATGCTCGTATGTTTAAGCATTTGGCAGGACAAGCATCTGCCTAAAAAAGTCCCTGGAGAAGGCGTCGAAGTGTGGCAGACTTTTAGGCAAGGCCATCGCATTGGAGAAGAAGAATTTTGTGTTTTACTTGCATCTTGTTTTGTAAATTACACACACACATACACACTCACCCGTACATACCCACTCACAAGCTCACTCACACATACACACACACACACACTTGCTGGCAGACAGAGTAAAATAAAAATAAGCACAAAAACTTAGGCACTTGGAAACTGTTAGAATCTGTGAGTCGTGTTCTGTGTTCTGGTTTTCTTTTTTTGTTCCCTGTATGTTTTCCCAGTCTCACTGCAGTAATAATAATAAAGGGAATTGTTATTGTTTTCTATTAATTTGCTTTTGTTATTTGTGTTGTTGTAGTTTGCCGAACAATTTTTCTACTGCCGCTCCGACTGCCACTCGACGAAGTCTGCATTTGATTTGATTTGTTTTCTCTTCATATTTGACTCGACTGTGGAAAATGGTCTTCAGCCGCATATTGCACTGAGTGCCCAGCCATAGAAATATATATTTTTTTTACTTCTGACTAAATATACTACCAAAACGTGCAAGACTTTCGTACAAATAGTTTACTTTGATATATGTATATACTTGATATATATTATTAAACTAATACAAAACCATCCTCAATCGAATGCCTCTCAAGTCTTTAGAAATAGTTCTAATTGCTTGACATATTGTTCAGTATAATTTTAAGAACAATCCATTTTCTACAGAAAACGTCGGTAACTGGATCTTAAATGGGTAAACGTCAATAATATGCAAGGCGAAGATAAAGTTACAAGCTGGGCGCCCCGAAGCTTTTGATGAAGATTAATTTCAGTTTAATATCAGCGCAAAGTTGGCGCAAGGCATGGCACCAGCTGCTTTGTTGAATATTTTATAATCATGTTTTGCATTAAATTGAACTAATTCACTTACAAAACTCGTAAATAAAGACGCCATATTGACGGCATCAGAGCCGAATGAACTATAGTTTTGTTGGGGCCATTGAATTGCCAGTATTTAAAAACTAATGTGCTTCAGACTACCTGTTCAGCCTGTGTTCGGTGCCTCAACGTACTTTGCTTATATTTGAAATGAGAATAGGGTTTGGTCAGAAAATATAAACTTAAATAAATAGGAAATAAAGCATGAATAATATATTTAGATATAACTGCATTTGAACTATAATTTTCTGGAGTCACAATCCTTTAAGCAGGATATTTTTAATTTATGCTTTATCAACAATCATTTTGAATACTTCTGAGAAGATATATTTATTATTATTTATTTTTTTTTTGTATACATCTATTTTCGTATGTGGTCTTCTTTAATTTATCTGATGCAAAATTGTAAGTCATCAATTAAATACAATCTTTCGAAATGAAATAAGATAAAAATGAATGTTTAATCTTTTCACATTTATAGATATTTATTATTTCCTAAAGCCTTCTGTTTTGATTTGAGAAATTATGTCTTAACAAAATTGTGGTTTGTGCAACTGAGTGCAATAATAATTGACCGGACTCAGAAATGGTCTGCATATGTCAACTACACACGGTCATATAAACAAAAGTTACTTGTGCTTTATTTTTAGTTGAAGCATCTGCAAATTCCACTCGCATGCTGCTATGAATAAAGCAAAGCCAAGCACGCATCAAGA